TATATATATAATTCTAAGAAATATTATGTTAACCGCTATTTTGGACCGATATATCACTGATATAACCGATATATCGAATATCGGTTCTGACCGATATTTTGTATTCTGACCGATATAACAACATAGATTAATACTAGTCAACTTTCTTCTAGTAGCTAAACAAAAGCTACTTGATTACTTTATTGAAAGAAAAGCTAGCCTGGTGACCAAGACCATAGTTGTTAAAAGCTCTGATGCTCATAAGACCAATGAATCAACTGAAAATAGTATAGACTAGGTACCGAGTTAATAAAGAGTAAGCTTAGCGGCAAGTGTTGCCCTAGGATGCATGTACAAGTCACATATTCATGACGGCATATTATTATTTTAGGCTATGCTGTTATAGCAGTCAAAATACAAAATAGCGATCTGGACCGATATTTGAAATAGCGGTTATAGTGGTCCAAAAATAGCGGTTCATATAATATTATATATATATATATAATATGTATGTATGCATACATAAACATATCATATGCATTAATAAAACATCAAAACATCAACTTAAACAAGTTTCACAAAACAAAATAGGGAAAGTGTTAATAAACGACTTCCTTCCAAGAGTGGAAGAGGCTGTCGAACGTGGAAAAACCTACGACTTCCTTCCAAGTTCCAACTTGGGTTGATGATAGAAAGAAGTTATTGTTAATTGTTATCCTGTTATGTTAATGGATTAAAATTAAAACATAGCCCAAATCAAAATAAAAAACCCAACTGTCCAAGTCAGACTAAAAAATAAAGCCCAAAAAAAATCCGAAACTAAATAGCGTATTGCGGACCGCAATTTGACCCTAAATATCAGTCAAATTGCGGTAAATTGCTCCAATATTAGCGGCACCGCTATTTGACCACCGATATTTTGCATTGGTCTGATATTCAATATTGCTCTGCAATTAACAACATAGATATTATGTCTTTGTATTCTTACCAAATGCCTTATGATATTGTTTTGTTGCCACTATTTTGAGGTACTTAGAGAAGTAGCAACTCTTTCTCGATTGCAGCACCAACATGTTGTACGTTACTATCAAGTAAGGCTTTATTCTCCTCTTCTCATGTTCATGTTTAATTTAGTTGTTCATGATGCTTGATTGCGACATTTGATCTGACTACTAGTTTATACTGTTTATATTTTCTCATGTTCATTTCTCTGTCATTGTACTTTCAAATGTAACTTTGAAAATCTTGTTGATGTGTCAGCTTATGGTAACAAATTAGACATGTTCTTGTTTTTGGATCTAGTTAATGATATATGATTACATGAAACTTTAAAAGTTTGCATGTCATCATCCTCATCAAATATAAACATGCTACATGGAGCCAATAATAGATACGAGAATAAGACAACTCTTCTAACAATTACAAATACATGCTATGAAGCAAAAAGAGAACAAACACCAAGGGTCTATACATCTTTTACTTTATTGTTTTCTACTTAGATGGATAATGTAAATGCTTTTCGTAGAACCCTTTAGTCTTGTAATCCCTAGTCCCTACTATACATTCATATCCATAATGCCTATTTCTTTTCTAATACATCATGCAATACTATGCGTCGTTAAATTGTAGGACTTGAAAAGGCAATTGCAACAACATAAAGCCCATGAATGTTTATTCAGGATGAATTACAAACCAACCAAGCAGTTAAGCGTTCTTTTGAAATTACAGTTGGTACCATGATATAAAATCGTGGTTATCGCTTTGGTAAAGCAGTAAAAGCATTAGGTTCGCAAAAATAGATACAAATATATATATATATATATATATAGGCGAAGGATCGTGTGAGAATGAGAGTTAAGATGAGAAGCGTAAAATGGGATCTGGACCCTTGATCACCTTTGATCTCAAACCCACCCATGAATCGCGCTTGATATAGGGATTGATCTGATGCATCTTATCCTAATATGCATCCAAGGGTGGAGATCCCATCTTACGTTTCTCACCCTATGCTGTTATATCGGTCAAAATACAAAATATCGGTCAGGACCGATATTCGATATATCAGTTATATCGGTGATATATCGGTGATATATCGGAAATAGCGGTTAACATAATATTTCTTAGAATTATATATATAATATGCATTAATTAGAGTTAACATAAAATTTTTACAAGGGTTAAACTTTGGGCTTTTTTTTTAATTCCATGGGCCTTATTTTTTGGGCTGCTTAGTAAATTAGGTCTGAATAAGACTTTCTCAACAGTACTGTCTACGACTTCTTCTTCTCACGTCGTCTCTCTTTTCTCTCTCGGTCTCTCTCTTTTCTCTCTCGGTCTCTCTTCTCGATCTCCTCTGTTTTTCTTGTAATCGATACAACATAGCCAAGCCACTGCCCAGCGACAGCAACTTAGCCAACGACAGAGCCAGAGCCAGCGACAGGTCTCTCTTCTCTATCACCCATTTTGACTATTGTGCTTGTGCCAAATTTTAACCCTTGTAAAAATCGGAATATCGGACCGATTTTATCGCTAAAATATCGCTAAATATCGCTAAATATCTCCGATAATATCGTTCCCGATATTTTGACCGATATTTCATGTCCGATTTTTTTCCTACGAGCGATATCCGATATATCGCGATTTTGACAGCATAGTTCTCACCTTAACTCTTCTTCTCACTGGAACCCAACCCTATATATATATATATATATATATATATATATATATATATATATAGACGAAGTGTGAGAGGGGAAGTTACCATGAGAAGCGTAAGAAGAGATTTGAACCCTTGATCACTTTTAATCTCATGCCCACCTATGAATTGCGCTTTAGAAGGGAATTGATCCGGTGCATCTCGGTGCACCTCATTAGTGTTGACATTCAATTAGGATTGATCCAAGGGTGGAGATCTCTTTTTACGCTTCTCATCATAACTTCCCTTCTCATGGGAACCCAACCCTATATATGTATAGACGAAGGATTGTGTGAGAATAGGAGTTAAGATGTGAAGAAGGTATCTGGACCCTTGATCACTTATAATCTCACCCCCACCTCATGAATTGCGCTTCCCACGTGAATTGATCCAGTGTATCTCATTACTATTGATCTTCAGTTAGGATTGATCCAAGAGTGGAGATCCCTTCTTATTCTTCTCATCATAGCTTCCATTATCACGGAACCCAACCCTCTCTCTCTCTTTATATATATATATATATATAGAGAGAGAGAGAGAGAGAGTCAAGTTCATACGAGAACAATAACTAAATGAAAATGTTTCCATGCGCCATATTTGTAAATGTTATCATGATATCATCTTAAGGAGTTAAGATCCTATCATGATTACAAACTTTGTAATCATGGTACTCAGTACTCAATGTGAAGTGTAAATAGAGGAAGCTTCCAGCGTTTCTCATAAATATTACACTATGAAGTGTAAACAGAGGGGAAACTTCCACGATTCCACCACATGGACGATCGACATGATTAAGTCATCAATTTTCAAACCGAAGGATTTCTTCAGTCAACAATTTCCGTTCTTCAGTGGTTGACTAGTGTGAATCGCATGGAAGAGATGAATGGCTTGGAAAGAAGTGGAATCGTGGGTTTGGAAGACTGGAAGGGGCAAAATTAACCTAATCGATGCCTTACGTGAACTTAGAAAAGACCCAAAAGCCCGAAAATAATAACCCAAAAACTTCAAAAGAGCCCAACAAACAAAGTGGTTTCTCGGTTCGCTATTTTTGGATCAATTAACGGTTGGTTAGTGGTGAATAGCACCACTTTTATTGGTACTGCTATTTTGGACCGGATTTACTCCACTTTTATTGCCGAGGGCCGTGAACCGCTATACCACTTCTATAGTGGCGTGATTAACTGCCCAACAAACCAGTTTATTGTTGGTATACTGCATCAAATATGTGGCAAATTTAGAAATGATCATCTTGTGTACAACGTTGTATCATGCATCCACTTACAAGGCCCAAGCCCATCACTATGTTAGGCATTCTAGAATCAGATAGAATGGGTAATTGAGTATTTTTGGGAATTAGTTTGTTTGTTGATTACAGATCCTCTTTTAGAGTTTGTCTGATTCTGTCTGGTTCATAACACATTGATCATCCTTATCAATTAATGTGGAGTGAAATGATTACAGATTACGTAATCAAGAAGAAAACAGTCAATGAGTGGTTTGTATTGAGCATTATATACTCTTATGTATATTACCATTTTAAGCTGAAAAAAACTTGTTAACTACGATCATGTCAGTAGCTTTTGAAGGTAACTTGATATATCTATTTGATAAATATTTCAGGCATGGTTTGAAACAGGAGATACTGGTTCCTATGCTGATGCTATCGGGGGTTCGAGGACTGCAGCTAGCTCTAGTTTCAGCTACATAGATCTGAGTTCAACAGATGTGGTAGGGCAGGACAACAAAGTTGGAACTTACCTCTATATTCAAATGGAATATTGCCCAAGGTTACCTCCAAATTTCTATTTTCATTTCAAAAAACTAAACTCAAGCAACTGTTTTAGATCTTGGAAAGTGAGTTTTTATAATACTGTTTCTTGTTGCTTCTCTTGGTGTTCTGGTCGTATTGTCAATTGTCATCCTCTATACCATATTCTTATTGAGCCTCAACTTAAGAAAAAGTCTCTACATTTACCCCAACATTTATTACCTGTCTGGTTGGCAAAAAGTTTTACTTGAACTAATGTTTAGGGTTGAGATTTTATGGTTTAGATTATGCATCATGTGGCTGATCCAAATTATGCCTCACTGATTAAAAACTTCTAGAACAGGTGATCAACAAAGGTCCCTAACATTTTCAGCAGCATCATAGAAATATATTTCTCCTTGGATGCCATCTGGATAATAGAACGAAGAATATAGAATTGCATGCATGAAGAAGTAGTAGAGACAGAAGCAAGGACAGTAAGTAGTGGCAGAGGTTTAGAAAGGCAAGGATTCAGACATTCAGCCATTATACATGTTAGGATGACTCCTCCATCCTAACTTTTTCCTTAGGAAGGCTAATAGCATTCAACTGGTGTAGCAAGAAATATCGGGAAATTCCTGAAAGTAGAATTTTCAGAAAATGCAATATTTGCCCATCATTTATAGGATAATTTTGCACAGAGAACAGAGTTTTAGCTGACAGCAATCAAATCCTTGATCTTTGAAAGAAATTAGTAAAGAATCCCTATGCTGTGGAAATGGAAATTTCCCCTGAACTTTGCTTGAATAACTTAATCCCCCTCGAATTTTTATCTTTTACGACCACAAAGAAATTAGGATTCCCAAATATTGTTGCATTACTATTCATAATGAAAAGACTGTATAGTACAAGCAATGACTAAAACATCAAAATTACGTGATATTATCATGCCCACCGCATAATATCTATTCTCTACTAGAACCATATTGTGGTATTGGCCAGATGTGTTGAGATAATGTAAATCCCATGAACCAAGGGATCGATTTACTTGAATATTGTTTCCTAAAATATAGGCACCTAAGGCCTATATATATTGCAAGGTCTTATGCATAATAACACGTGAAATATTTCTAGTTTTATTATGTGACGTTCATTATGGTTGTTAGGATGTCAGTACGGTATATATTTTCTTAGGCCCATTAAGCACATGGGCTCTTGGGGTTTCTCTTTTGTCTAGGTTTTCTGTCTATATACATATATACATCCTTGTATCCTTTTTTTTTTTTTTGTAATACACAAGTTAAAAGCAATAATATAATCCCTGATTACATGGTATCAGAGCTCGTTTTCGTACAATCACTAGTTTCGTGGATCGAAATTTTTGTTCTTCGGTTAGGGTTCATGTTCTTCTAGTTTTGGTTTCCTTGTGTGGGATTGGTTTTGCTGGTTGTTTGTGGGTTTCGGTTTATCCATGTGATCTGTTCCTCGTGGCTGCTGTTTGCTAACTCTCAGATCTGGTCGTGTTTCAAAGATACGACTAGTAGGGTTTGGTTTTTTTGTTTAGGGTTTCTTGTGCAGCAATGGTTCTTGATCCTAGGCATTTTGTTTTATGATTTGCTGCTTTCTGGATCTGGTTGCTGCCGGGTGTTTTTTAATCCAGATCTGGGTGTGTTTTTATTCTTCACGACTTCAGATCTGTTTGTGTTTGGGTGCTGCTTTCTCGGCTGTTTGGTGCTGCTGTGATTCGGGGCTGTTTTGCTTGATTATTTTGGTCGACAGCCAGCTTTCTGCTGCTGTTTGAGTGACAAGAAGTTTTGCTGCTGCTGTTTGCTTGCTGCCCAAGTCCAAGCTGAGGATTCAATTCGTTTTGCGGCTGCTTGCTTCTGTTTGCTGTAGGTTTTCTTTCCGGGTTAGCAGCCCTCCTAGGCTACTGCTGTTTTTTGTTTTTAAACGCTTCATTTTCATTTTCCTTGGATCGGAATTTCTATTCGTCGGTTTCTTTGGCACCCTGTGAGTGCGTCGTTCGCTTTTTAGTTTGCTATCCTTCGTCCTAAGTTCTATGTTCTCTCTTCTGGTTCGTGATTTATTGGAAGATGACTGGAGAAGACAAAACATCTGACAGTACAATAGTTTACGTTTTCCCGAGATGCTTCCAGTAAATGTTAAGCTCACCCACAACAAACTTAATGGCTCCAACTACTTTGAGTGGAGCAAAACTATTCGTATCTATCTCCGGAACATGGGAATGGCTTCTCATATCACATCGGATCCTCCTAAAGGTAACGATTCTGATTCATGGTTCTAAAAGTGACGTTCGTTTGTACTTGCAAATTATCAATACTATTGAGCCTTCTGTTTCGTCTCTAGTTAGTCACTGTGAATATGTGAAGGAACTTATGGATTATCTTGATTTTGTATATTCTGGACAAAGTAACATCTCTCGAATCTATAGTGTGTAAGTCCTTTCATCGTGGAGAACAACAGGACCGATCACTCACTACGTATGTCATGGATTTCAAGAAAGTGTATGACGAGCTTAAATTTCTTCTTTCATTAAGTGCTGATGTCAAAGCCATGCAGACTCAGAGGGAACAAGTGGTTGTTATCAGTTTGCGACCAGAATTTGAGACTATCAGATCTCAGTTCTTGAATGAGTGCTATTCCTTCTCTACAAGAATCATTTGCCTGTGTTCTTAGGAATGAGAATCTTCAGACTTCTCAAACTTATGATCACAACAGTGCTCTGGTTGGTCGAGGGGGATTTCATAGTGGCTACCAAGGAGAATTTCAATGGGGGTCACCGTGGTGGCTCTAGAGGTGGCCACAGTGACCGAACAACTGACTCACGGGCTACTATTCCAGATTCTGATAATGTTGAGTGTTACTACTACCATGAGTTAGGTCATACCAAGCGCATATGTAAGAAGCTTTTGCCCAGACATCCGAGGAGTTCAGCAGTGCACATTGCCTCTGCCTCACATAGTATTGTTACTATACCCGTAGAAGAATATGCTCGACTTTTAGGGACTGAGAATTCCACTGCTCCGACTGCTGCATTTGCTGAGACAGGTAACTTTAGTACATGCCTATTATCTTCTGCCTCCAAACGGGTCATTGATTCAGATGCTTCAAATCACATGATAGGTAATCCCACCATCTTCTCTAATTGTAGTAAACACAAATTCCCATCACATGTCACAATTGTTGACGGTCTACCACACCTGTCCTTAGTTCTTAGTTTTGGCACCATCGATCTTACCCCGTCTGTTTTGTTATCTTCCGTATTGAGCCTACCTAATTTCTCGTTCAATTTGTTATCAGTCAGCAAAATTACCCGTACTTTAAATTGTTGTCTCATTCTTTTTGTCTTTCAGGATCTGTCGACGAAGAGGATTATTGGTAGAGGGAGGGAGACTGATGGCCTATACATATTTGAACTTCAAGTACCTTTCTCATTGACTTGTTCCAGCTCATCGTCTTCACTTGAAGTTCATTGTCGATTAGGTCATCCATCTTTACAGAATCTGAAGAAGTTGTGTCCTGAGTTTTCTTATTTACCTTATCTAGAGTGTGAGTCTTGTCAGTTTGCCAAACATCAGTGTATTCATTTAAGTCCTAGAGTTTGTAATAAGCAGGCCTCATCCCCATTTGAGTTGGTCCATTCTGATGTTTGGGGACTATGTCCTGTTACTTCAAAACTTGGGTTTAAATATTTTGTTACATTTGTTGATGATTACTCTCGCACTACTTGGCTTTAATTTATGAAAAACCGGTCTGAGGCATTCACACATTTTTGTTTACTCTATGCTAAGATTAAAACCCGGTTTAAAGTCTCCATTCAAACTCTTTGTAGTGATAATGCAAAAAAATATATGATTCAAACATTTAAGTCATATATGATTCAAAATGGCATTCTTCATGAGTTTTCCTTTGTTGACACACCGGCCCAAAATGGGGTTACGAAACAAAAGAATCGTCATTTCCTAAAGGTGGCTCAGGATCTATTATTTCACATGACTGTTCATAAAATCTTCTGGGCTGATGTGGTTGCTAAAGCTTGTTTTCTTATCAATCGAATGCCTTCTGTTGTCTTGGATGGTAAAAGTTCTTTCTCAGTTCTGTTTCCTACAAAATCATTGTTTCCTGTGATATTTGGTAATTTTTGTTCTGTCCACGATACCCGACTTCACATAACTAAGTTGGATCTGAAGTCACTGAAATGTGTCTTTCTTGGTCACTCTCGACTTCAAAGAGGGTACAAGTGTTTTTCCTCATGCTTAATCGATACATCGTATCACAAAACGTTACATTCCATGAAAATATACCCTTCTTTTCTATGTCCGCTCCTTGCAACCCAAGAGATGGTGATGATTTGTTGGTGTGTACCATACTTGTTCCCGAGTCTACTACCCCATCTGACTTGACACAGACCCAAGAGTCTACTAAACCACCGATAGTTCCTGTATATAAATAGGCGGCAATGACCTACATCAGATCCCGACCCAACACCATCGTCTGCAAATTCGTCTAATGATGATTCTCTTGCCCACCTTCCGATACACAGGTTCCTGATCTTGATGTTCCCATTGCTCTTCGGAAAGGTAAGCACTCATGTACTTACCCTATTTCTTTTGTTGTTTTCTACCTATTTCTTTTGTTGTTTTCTATGATAAACTTTCTTTACGTTCTCGTTCTTTGATCTCTACACTTGATTCTTTATATGTTCCTAAAACGGTTGGTGAAGCTTTGGCCCATCCTGGATTGGCGGGATGCTATGATTGATGAGATGAATGCTCTCGATCATAATGATACATGGGATTTGGTAGAGTTGCCTGCATGCAAAAAGACAATTGGCTGTAAATCGGTATACACTGTGAAAGTTAATCCCTTTGGATCTGTGGCTCGTCTGAAAGCCCGATTGGTAGCCAAAGGATATGCTCAGACTTATGGGGGCGATTACCACAAGACATTTTCTCCTGTGGCTAAGGTGCCCTCCATTGGCCTGTTTGTTTCATTAGTCACTACTTACGACTATGTACA